CAAAGTCCTCCTCCTTGTCTTATTCATCAAAAATCTTGCTTTGAACATAGTAAAATCCTTAAAATTTTCAGCGCGAGAGCGATGTGGAGGAGGAGTTCCCCACGCTGCCGCTACAGACGACAACAATCGAAAACGTCGAAACGCAGCCGGAAACGCTAATTGTCGAAGGCAGAGACCAGGGGCAACCTGCCAACGAGCAGATGAATGGCGCACCGATCGACCGGAATCCGCGCACTTCCGATTTCACTAATGAGGACGATGAATACGAACAGCATATGCATATATGAGCATTTGACGATCCCAGCTTATGGGAACCAAAGAGAGAAGAGAATCAACAAGTTATTAGCTGAGTTAAACTTCAACTGTTCATTATGGCTTTTTGTATATAAGCAAATGCAAAGACGCATATTATAACGACCCATGGCGTGCATGTGTGTGTGTGTCTGTCCAGGTATTTCAACTCGGCAACCAAGCAAGCTTCGGCGCGAAGATTTTGCCAGCTGTCCCCTCGGCGAAGGGCCGCTCCAAGATCGCAGTACCAATCCCCACGCGAGTCTGAGCCCCGCGTACGACAACATAAAAGTCGCGGCGAAGAAACCACTAACTTGGGAACCAGAAAAGCTAGAAGACTGAAATTTTAAAGGAATGTTCCCAGCCCACAAAAACTTAAAGATCTCAAATTCTGCCTGCGTGTGTGCGTGTTCCTCACGCACAGGCCTATGAAAATTTGTGGCGGGAAAGTTGCTAATTCGGAGATGGAAAATTTTAACGAAATTTTAACGAAATGTTTCTTGCCCAGTACCATGTAGTCTCATAATTAACTTCAAGTTCGAGGACCAGTATTTTATAAATTCTAGCTACTGGGACTTCAAGCGACCAAGAAATACTGCAAAAAAGCATGATCGCACGGACCGGCCTGGTGCGCGTTGCAAGTAATTTTAAATCGGGCACCATCACGTTCCTGTACTCTGCTGTAATTAATGTTACTACGAATGCTTTGTTTTGCTTGTTGGGAATCAAAATTTAATGAAACCAGCAGTGCAGTTAGAAGAGAACCCCGAATGCGCTAATTTGAACTAAAAAAATAAGAGAGTACGACTTGCTTTTTTTCAGCGGCACTTTTTAAATTATACTTCGTTCAGCTGTTGTTCCATCGCTGTGTTTCTCCTCGCCATTGGTGCAAATTCTAAATCCTTAATCCTGGACCTTTCCCGGCCACAAAATCCCATTTAGCCTTTCCGACGGATGTTCCCATCGTATTCGCGCCTTCCCCAGTCTCATCATCAGTGTTCATTAATCTGATTTGTCCATCTGTTGTCTGTCATTCCTTCCACACGATTAACTTTCCTCTCTAGTATGTATTCTCTTCGATAATATTGTTCATACCAGATCGACTCCACAACGTTTCCCTGAAAACGTGCTATATCCTACTGGCACCTACTCTCTCTCGTGGCTGAGACTGAAAATGTATATAAAAACTGTAAATATGTAAAAATTCAAATTCATTGGCCATAATCTGATGATTTGATAACCACTTCCTAATAAAAAAGTCACTCGTTGTGCAGTGGCGGGATCTCTCTGGCAAAATCGCTCTTCGTCACATATACTTTTGACATGTCCAAATGCGTCATATAGGCGTGTCAAAGCTTATTTTACGTCCACGTGTTTGCGTATAAGCAACAAATACTCTCATAAAAACAGGGCACTCAATTCCGTTTGATTCCCAATTTGGCATTTTGTTGATGTCGATTTTAAGTTGTTTGAATGGTACGTGGGTAAAGAACATCTTTGTAGAATTTCAGCTTCCTAGCCTCTGCGAATGCTTAGTTGAATGTGGGCGATAAAAAGTCACATACACACACACACACACACACACACACACACACACACATTGACAACTCGACAGCACGCGTTTCTGCATTCGCATAAAGACACAAAAGCAAAGGAGATTTCCAAAGAAAAGCATAAACGCGGGCTACTGTTCCCTACGTGTTTCCAGAAGTCAAAGCCTAGTGTTTCTTATGCGTTTTTGTTGCTACGGTAAACAAAAACGCATATTGGCAAAAGTCTGTCTGTATGTGTATGTTCGCGCTTTTTGCCATCTACTTTTAATTCGAAAAACAGAAGAGCCTAGAGAGCTGAAACTTCAGGAGAATGTGCCCATTCCTCTCCGACCGTTTAATATTATTTTGGCGGATAAACTACTAACTCAGTAATCACGTGAAGATATTCACCCTTCAGTGTTCCGAATTCAGCTTTCCTGCGCATGCGCGTGAAATTTCCAAATTTTTTTCAATGTTTCAACTATTTTTGCATAGACTAAAGTACAATGCAGTGAAAATCATTAATAGGCAATTGATCGATGGGCTGAATTGCA